TTAGGATGCTTCATGATCCACTAGACATGTCTCGCCTGCAAATCATATTGAGGATAGTGGGTGGGTTAACCACACTGTGGGTTGTGGAGAATGGTCACTTTATCTGTGGCGTGAAGTCCTGATGCATCATGGGAGTCATTTCAGAAGAATGAGAGCTGATTTTTATTGGGATGCCATGGGTCAAAATGTCCTTTCGTCAACTCACCTAGGTTGGAGAGGTGGCCAACAAGCACTGGAGGTTTTATCCCAGATCTCCCACTGTGTTTATAAAGGATGAGACTGACAGCATTGGGGCCAGGGACATGGGGGTGTTTGTGATCAGTAATCTAAAGTGGATCTGATATAATATAGCCTCCTCTTGCATTATATTGTATGTATGTATCTTCTCTGGGGAGTTGGAAGATGGGGAAATTAAGACTGTTAAAGGCTGAAACAACACAGAGGGCTCTTGTTCATCTAACACCGGTTAGTTGTTAACGTATTGCTACAGAAGGCCTGCACCCCACCTTCAGCAAATGCCCTCTGCAAGGACTCCTGCGTGTCGATCTTTGTTAATGGAAATGTCCTTGTGTTTTACCTTTCAGCTGCCCTGGCAGATGTGTCCAGGTTTGAGCTCCCTGAGAGTGCAGCTCAGGGGTTGGTCACTCTTCAATATATCAAATCATACTCTCTGATATGTTCTTTTCCTTTTGTTCCTAGCCTGTCTTTAGATGTGAAGTAGAAAGATCTACAAAAGAAATGTCAGGGTATGTTGATAATTTATTGACAGCTTTTGTCTGAGCATGAACATAGGGCAATACCGTGATGCTTGCATGCATTTTTATGTACTCAGTAGCATAGAAGGATCTATGGAAGAGAGAAGGGAAGGTATATCAGGCTTGTTCTCATTAGGAGACAGAAGCTACATTAGTTACTTTAACAGAAAGAATTAATATAGAGAATTATAACCAGGTATTGGATGACCTAAGAGGTACAAATGGATACTGAGGTTCACAGTAGTAAACTGTGGCAAGCAGCTATACCTAAGCTTCCCTAAGCAGCTTCATAGGGAAGAAATTAATATACTTAAAACTTAAAAGGTGTTGAATGAAGGGTCCTGCAGATGCGGGAAACCCAGCTGTTTTAGGAAGGGGCACTGGAAGGCTGGCTGTGCTGGTGTCTCTGAAGGAGGTATAATAGAACTGATGCTGGAGATTGAGAGAAACTACAAAGTGGAATCACTCTTACCAGAACCAATTGCTGCTTCCAGGGAAGGAAGTATTGCCTGGATCATGCTGATGAGTAGGAAACAAATAAGGAGCCCTGTTCTCTTGCCTCTAGACACACTCCGACACCCCCTCTGGCTGAGCCTAACTGTGCGCCAGCAGGCCCAGGAGAGGTGTGATTTGCAGCAGCAGTCCCCACCAGCCTTTTTGGCACCAGGGACAGGTTTCATGGAAGACAGTGGCAGGGGAGAGGGAGGTTGAAGCTGAGGTGGTGATGCAAGTGATGGGGAGTGGCTGTAAATACAGATAAAGCTTCACTTGCTCCCCCACCACTCACCTCCTGCTTTCAGCACCCCTCCCCTTCCTAGGTTTCATGGAAGACAATTTTTCGACAGCAGGGGTTGCAGAGAGTGAGGCATAGGATGGTGGAACTCTGTGGCTGGTCCCTTTTGTATCAAAGGAAAAATTTTATAAAATTTTGTGATGGATATTTTGTAAATAAAGGTACATTTAGTTATAATTGCCCATTTTCCCTATTTATCGTAACTTTTGGGACACCCTGTATACATATAAAAAGTGGCTGAGATAATGAGGGTTGTTACTCAATTATAAAAGTAATCGTAACAGTAGACTGTATTAGAAACTTGGTTTGGATGAATAACCTTAAGGACCCTTCCTTGGTTGGGAGACGCGGGGGTAGTTGGGTTCTAAAGCCAGGGCATTAGGGGGATCTCACAAATAAACACTGGAACCATTTACTAAGCCTGAGAGCCTGTTGGGATGAGAAAACAAATTTGTCTCTTATCTCATGCTCACTCTGTGATATACATATGCATGCTGAGTGGAACGCAGGTGGAAAACCACATCCCCCACTCTCCATATTGTTGGCTTCTCTCCTCTCTTCTCCTGCCCTCTCACCAAGCAGAGAGAAAGGAGTTCACATAAGTTAAGTGTCTACAGCTTCATCTCAAATTGCACCAGGTGTGCGCTAAGCACTCTATCTCATTCTAAGTGTTACTTGGTGATCACATTGACCCTGGAAGTGGCATTATTATAACTCCTTAACAGGAAAGAGATCAGATGCACAGGAAAGTTAATTAATGTGCTGTGGACTGAGCTGGGGAGCAATAAGACCTGGACTTCAAACACAAGTATGTCTTGCTCCAGAGCCTATGCTCTTGTGTTTTGTTATTAGCATTGCCCTGCTCCCCACTCTAAAGTTTCTTCCCTGATTTCATGTGTAGGGCAAATCCTGTGATCTCCTACAGCAAAACTAGGGGCCTGCTCGAAACCAACTCTAAGATACAGTAATCCTGCACTGTCCAATATGGTAGCCACTAGACACATATGGCTATTTAAACTTTAATTAAAATTAAGTAAAATTTAAAATTTAGTTCCTCAGTCACAGTAGCTTCATTTCAGGAGCTCAACAGATAACAGTTGTTTAGCAATTTTTATATTAGACAGCACAGAACATTTCTGTCATCACAGAAAGTTCTACAATAAATCAATAATGAGTGAACAAAGCGTTACGCAGAAACCTACTTTCCAAACCTAGCTCTGCACCTTACTAGTTGTGCATCCATGGGCAGGTTACTTAACCTCTCTGTGCCTCAGTTGCTGCATCTGTAAAACAGGATAGTCAAGAGAGCACCTCACAGGGTTCAGGTGAAGATTAAATGAGACACTATTTGTAAAGTTATTAGCATGGTGCCTGACACATTGTGAGTTCTCAATATGTGTTACCTAAAGGGGGAAACAGTGTCTATCTTAGTCTATTTTGTGTTAACTATCAAGGAATATCTGAGGCTTTATATCAAAGGTTTATTTGGCTCATGATTCTGATGGCTGGAAGGTTCAAGACTGGGCCAAGGGGGAGCTGGCATGTGCAGAGATCACATGGTGAGAAAGGAAGCAAGGGAGAGAAGGGAGGTGCCAGGTTCTTTTTAATAACCAGCTACTACAGGAACTAATAGACTGGGAACTCACATACCCTGAGGGAGTCCATTGATCTATTTAGGAGGGATCCACCTCCATGACCCAAACACCTCCCACTAAACCGCCACCTCCAACATTGGGGATCAAATTTCAACCTGAGGTTTGGAGGGGACAACCATCCAAACCATAGCAGTCTCTTAGCGCTAATATGTGATTTTCTAAACACTCTGCCTTACGTATTTTCCCCTTGAAATTTTTATATGGGGAAGGTAGGAAGGAGTTTGATGTAGAAGGAGGAGGATCTTGATAATTTATAACTGGAGTGCTTCATGGAGACAAGGAGTGCTTCATTAATTCACAAGATTTTTTTATTTAACAGACATTTCTACAGCTCACACCATGCTCCAATTCTGACCTAAGCACTGGACATATATTCCCTTACTCCATCCCCCACACAAGCCTATACTTCATTTTCAATACTCTCCACATTTCTATACCTGCCACATTTTGTGACTTACCTTGATAAGTCTTGAGGGAGAGGGAAGGGGCTGATAAAGATGAAAGAATAAAAGTCTCCCCTTAAGGCAGAGGGTAGAGAAACAAATAACTGTAGAGGGTATATTATCTTAGGCTAGATAATTTTGCCTGCATTATTTCATTTCAAGCAACAATTCTGTGAGATAGGTGATAATCTCCCCGTTTTATAGAAGTGGAAAAAGTTAAAGACGTTTAATAACTAGCCCAGCATAGCACAGCTAGTTGAGGGTGAGAACTGGGATTCTAACCCAGTCCTACTTCCAAATCTTGTACACTTTTCATTACATCATAATGTTTGTTAACAGGGAAAGTAACACATTTGCATTTTAAGTATAAGGTATAAATAAAAGAATATAGATACATTGCTCTGGGGGTTAAGAGGAGGAAGGGATTACTCCTAACCAGTAGGATTATGAGAGGCTTCATTGAAGAAGGAGCATTTGAAATAGGACCTGAAAGTGAGGAGGATGTGGGTCTGGGGGGAGAAGATTCCAGGCAGAGAGAGAAGCACAAGCAAAGGCTCTGGCAGAACCCAGATACTGGGTGAAGGTAGCAGTGATGGACTGAGGAGGGGGACCTGCCTGGGTGGGGAGCAATATTTAGTCACCAGTACTGTTTAGAATTGCCAGCTCATGGTCACAGTAAAAAGCAGACTGACTCTTAGTTTTATATTGCTTTTAAATTCTCTACAGATAATGTGCCTGCTTTTATTATATGTATCCAGGACAGACCACTCCCATCAGCCTCTACCCTTTGGTATGCCAATGGTGACTGGCTTTGTTTGAATACGTTTCTCTTGAATGCCTTTCTCTGTACATCTTTCTTGGCAGCACTCCAACTTCTGTGATTCCCAGCCTGTTTTCTTCACTGTGTGCTCCCTACCCTGTGTTCTAGGGAGACACATTCTGTGAAGGACAAAGAGGTAGGCCTGGGCTTTTCTGTAAGCTTTGGAAAAGGGTCATGAGTAGAGCCAGCTGCTTCTCATGCTCCAGGTCTGGAGTTCTTCTTTCCTAGGTAGGAAGCCTGGCTGAAATAGAAACTTTCTCTAGGATCTAAGTGATGCCCTAGAGTTAACAAGCAATGCTAGATTGAACCAAAGGGCAGGGACCATGGGACTGGAGGAACCTTCTAAGAGCTTTTGTCACTTAGTGGGAAGTTGAGAGTGGGCTGATTTGAACATTGAATCCCTAAAGAGAAGACCATGTGGTTGTTACCCACCCTACCCCATCCCCTTGGCCTTTCCTTGACTACACCCCAGGGCAAAGGAACAAGGAGGACCTCCTGCTAATTTTCACCTGCGTTTTGCTCTTTGTTATGTAGTATTTCGTGACACGATCCACTCAGGAGAGTTGGAGCGAGGCTGGCTGAGGTTCTCAAGGAGCTGAGTTTTGAGTTCAGGTGCTCACTTGGCAGTGGAATGATGCCTCCTGACCTTTCAGACCTTTGAGACCTCTGGGCGGTCTTAGAAATCACTTCGAGCCTCCAGTCCAGGATACGACTGCCTAGGGGAATTCCAGGGAAAGGTGGCAGGTAGAGTATCCTTTCTGAGTTTTATCCCCTCGTCCTCCTTTCCCTCCTTTCTTTGTGTCTGCATTGCTCCGTTGTGTCTCCTCCTCAAGATTCCAGAGACCATTGATGCCAGGGCATTTATTTTATGTTCTTGTCAACAGAGGTACCATGGACTGTGAAGTGATGGATACCACAACGAGCTCACTGCAAGATCTCAAAGATTCCAAGCCACTGGCTGTTCCCAGTCAAATGCCACCCTTCTGGAGAGGCGGCAGGAAGCGAGCTGGCAGGAGGTGAGGAACCACCCACTCTTCCCTCTGGCCCTTCACTCCATCAGCCTTTAGCTGTTGGATTGTTTGGGCCCACGCCTGATGGGCTCTTTCCTGTGTGTCCTTCCACAGGCCCTACCTTTTGGCCAGAGGACAGACCCCTTCTCAGATGTCCCAGGGAGCCGCTGAAGGATAGTGAGGAAGATGCTGCTGATCCACAGGAGACAATCACAGTAGCTGAAATTAAGAAATACCTCAAGTGAGACTCAAGCCCAGCGTCCCTTCAGACGAAAGTTCTCTGACCTACAGTTCTGGACTGGACTGTTTTTCCTTTGCTATTATCTGTGTAACACACCGTTCTGAGCGCTTTTGACTAGTTGACTTTTTTTTTTTTCCTGCCTATTCTTTTTCTTTTCTTGGCCCTGGGAATTATAAAAAAGAAATTACTTTAAAAAGTATAATTCTATGCTGAAATTAGCCTTGTATGTGAACAAAAGCTGTTCCTAGAGATTTTCTGAATTGCAATCCCAGGTTACCTGGTAAATGGGGCTGTGGTTTGATTTGTATAGTACTGATCTGTAGATTAAAATACACTTCCTTTCCTTTATTTTTTGTTTGGATCCAGGTAATGGCCCGAGTCACATTTGCTTAGCTACCGAAGCGATCTGAATGTGGTATCGCTTGGAGTTGAAATATAATCAAACATACATTATACCTGGGGCTCTTGCGCACTATTTGATATATGTGTTACACTGCAAAGAAACACAAACCTTGTAGGTTGAAATTTAATTCCTGTTTGATCCTGCAGCTAGAATGGTGAAGAAATTGTAAATATCAAAAGTGCCTTCAAATACCCTACATGGAAGGTAGTCAACAGTAAGTGGATAGTTTCAGAATGCCATTTTCTAAGACAAAGTGGGAATTGGAGATCAACTGACCTCATCGGCAGTGTTGTGCAGGTCTGTCTGTCTGGATCTGCCCATTTTGGAGGAGTTAAAGAACAAGGCATGCTTCTGTGATGGGGTTTATGGAAATTGTGGTATTTCTGTCTTCTGTAACTGTGCCTGCCTTGCAATAAAACACCATCAGTTGACTCAGCAATAAGGTCTCTGTCAATTTCCTGCAAAACTGTGTCCTTAGTGGCTTTGTAAGAAAGTCCAGTGTAGACCTTGGAGTGTTTGACCTGCCAGAGATCTCAGCTAGATTCAGCATTACTGCTCTCTCAGAAATGGCACTAGAGCCGTCCATTGTCTACACATGGGGTCATAGTCATATGGTCGACTTCTCTACTTTTCTTGTTATAGTCATCCTTAGAAGCCTGTAGTCATGGCCTAACCCTGTTAGGCAGATGTGCTGTCATCTGCCATCATGCTCTATCTCTAGAGTCCCCATTTATTTCTGTGGGACTCTAGGACAAGCCACAAACTCTCTGAACCTCAATTTCCTCATATACAAAATAGGGATAGATACTTCCTACAGTTATGGTGATAAGTGCCTATAAAAGGACATCACATGGCTGGTACTTTACACATTGTAAACTCATTAGGATGTGACAACACTCAATTTGTGGTTATTTTATTTGTTAATAAAGAATTTAATGAACTTTTAAATTCCTTGCAGTTGGCCTTTAATTGAGAACACTGAGTAACCTTTGAGTAGCTTCTTAAGCCTCCTAGCTTAAAGATACTGGGAAAAAATGTGAAAATTCATGGGACGGAAGTCAGGAGAGGAGAATCTGCTCCTCCGCACCTTGGCCATGTAGCCAAAACCTCAATTCTTTAATTTCTCCTTCTGGAAAATAGGGAAGATGTTTTACCTTCTTCACAGAGATGACTCTGTCCCTTTCTCAGAAAGTGATTTACCATGCATGTGGCTGTAAGAGACATCATCTTTCTCACATGCTTGCAACATCAGGCCCATGTCATCCAAGGGGAGGTAAGTACTCCTCTAAATACTGACACGGAGGTCTCATTCACTGAAGGGAATAATTCAACCCATGCAAGGCCTCGTCAGACCTTATCTATCACTTTAGTAGAAAGCACTTTCAAGAAAACCCAGCAGCTCCACCACCACATCTGAGATTTTGGGTTGACTACAATGTGAAGCAAAGACAAGAGCTAAGATAATTCATTTTATACTGGAGGCAGATGGAACAGTTGTTCTCTGATTGCCATGGTACGTATTACAGTCTCACAGACAACATCCCTGGATTTCGAAACATGCCTAGTAGAAAGAGCATTTTCTACTTTCTACACTGAAGTCATTAAAATGGCAATAGTAATTGCAATAGCAAGTTAACAGTTATTGAGCACTTACTGTATGCTGGGCACTAGGCAAAGCACTTTACGAGCACCGGCTCATTTAATCATCACGATGGTCACATGAGGTAGGTGCCCCCATTACCCTCATTGCCTGAAACAGAGTGGCCAGGCCACCCAGGTGAGAGGCATAGCTGGGATGGAGCAGGGCTGCCTGACTCCAGAGCTTAGACACTTCACCACATGCTCAGCAGCTTCCTCATCTGGGCTCCAATCCCTGTCTGATTGTTTAGTGGCTTTTGACTTTGAACCTCGCCTTTGGAACTTCATTGTCCTTATTTGTAATTTGGGGCTATTAATTCCTATCCTCCCTGCCTGCTTCCCACAATTATTGTATAAGCTCTTTGCAAATGTATGCCAACTGACATAAGAAGTAAAGATTTTATTACAAAAAATAGTATTTTTGTTATTGTTGTTCCTCGTACATCACAGGCCAGAAGTGCTAAGACATTCATTCCCCTCCCCACATGAGACTTAACCAATGACTAAAGAGAGGATATGATACCCTGGCTGCTCACCCATTGGGTGGCTGGTGGAAACATGTTCTACACTGTCTCTGAGTTCTCTGATAAGGTTACGCTCCCGTTCCCCGTTGGTGGTAACTAGTTTGCTAACCCATTTTTGTTGGCTGCCTTTCCTTCCCTGTCTCACACTGCTCTTACTTCTGAACCACCATTTCATAGAATCCCCTCCCCAATAGATAGTTTATTTGCACATTCATATAAGTTCTTATCTTAGCGTCTGCTTCTGGGGGTAGCCCAAGCTAATTCAAAATTCTGGTGCTGATCAATTGTAGAAATAACAATGCACCAGAGAAAATACAACAGCATCATTCAAGACTAAATGGTTTCTCTCTTTGTCCTTCTACTGATACTCTGCTATGTGGAGGACAGGAAAGGCAACCTTCTAAATCTGAGACCCAGTTGCCAGAGGACAATTTCCTTCCTGTGAAACAGGTACCTCCACAAGTTATGAGATGTTTTTCCTTTAAGTGAAAGACTCAACTAACATAACACCAGGCAAGAGTCACCTGATGGCAAATCAAATTACAATTCACTGGCTAGAACAAGTAATTAAATATAAGGGGGTAATGGGAAAAGGAGAGAGTCACAATCCCAAAGCCACTTTCTCACCTCTCAAGGACTCCTATTTGCCTTTGAATCACTTCTGCTTCAATTAACATTGATCGAGCTTGCTTAAAGTGCCTGCTCTTGTCAAATCCCATTACAGGAGACTCCAAGATACTATCTGTCTGCAAGCCTTTGTTGGGCTGGGACATTTTTGTGGGAATATTGAATATTGCGTAGAGTAGCTAACACATTGATCAGGGCTGTAATATAGGAGGTTTACTTTTTCTGGCTTGGAAGTTTTGTAAATGGGATTTCATTTTTGCCATTATTATTATCAACTAGAACCAATTCTCTAAGTTCAAGTTATGCTCTAAAAAGCATGTCAGACTGACCCACTACTGCTTTTAAAGACAAACATTGACAATGTCAACCCTGTAAAGTAAGAAAATGTGATTGAAGCTTTGTTGTAGACATCACACACCAAATTAATTTACTTTTTTGTTGGGAAGAGACACACAAAGAAACATGTTTGCTCCATGGGGTTCTCAGTAAAGGATTCTATGTTTCTTTTATTGGAGATGTAAAAGAAATTGTAGTATGTATCAGTGTGCCTTTTCTCACTCTTCGCTAAGGTCTTAGAGGGTGGGGCTATATTTTATGCATTTTGTTTTTAGTATATGACTAAGGACAGCTTTCATCATGTTAGGTAATCCATTCTTACTCAAAACAATTAAAGTAGAAAATGGAAACTACATATTTTATAGATTTCCTTCTGAATTTTAGTTTAAGCTGTCAGGAGTGTGCACCCAGCCCTGTGCTTACTGGAGGAAGGAAGGAGAAATCAAAGCCCCAGCCTTCGATGCATGCTTAGATGTTGAGGGGCAAGATTCCTATTAGGAAAAAAATCAGAGAATAGCATTGATCTTAGAATCTTTAATGAGCAAGGACTTTTTATTAATATGTAGGGAAACCCTCTTATTGGAAACTTTTTAATACTTGCATTATTTTTTAAAGCTTTATTTATTTATTTGGAGACAGGGTCTCACTCTGTTGCCCAGGCTAGAGTGCAGTGGTGTCATCATAGCTCACTGCAGCCTCAAACTCCTGGGCTCAAGCAATCCTCCTGCCTTGGTCTCCCAAGGAGCTGGGACTACAGGCACATGCCACCATGCCCAGCTAATTAATGCTGACATTTTAGTCATTTTTAAATTTTTTTCCCTAAATATTCAAATATGTTTGCCACTAATAAAACATACTTTATGGATATTTATATCCTGATTACAAATTTAATTGGGAAAATTCTCCTAAATATTTTAATAAAATGTCTATGAATTTCATTAAAAGCTTTATATACTTTAAAAACAGATGGCACATGCATGTGCTTACAAGCATATACACAAATCACAATGGGATTCAAAGTTTTTATACCTGCGCTTAAACTATTAGAGCTATTTATACTATGGGTTTGATTCATGACTTCATTATTTATAAAGTTCTTATATACCTTCCTTGTTTTTTATACTTCTCATTGTTTATGTACTTTCCTAGGGTTACAGTAATCTTGCCAGAATTGAAAGAAAAAGAATTCAGTTTCAGATCAGCTAATTTTGCAGATTCTGGATTATCAACCACTTGATTTGTGCTTGGCACATGGGATCTTATTGGATCCCTTCAAAGTTGATTCAGTCAGTCCTGGGCTGTTGTTTTCTAGCTTGAGTTTTTTCTGAGAAAGTCAAGGTTTGTTGCTATGTTAATGGCTGTTGGAAAGCTCTTGTTTTATACTAGCAACACAGAGCCTCTGCTGAGAGTTCCTGTGTCCATCAATTTTTTTTTTTTATTTCAGCATATTATGGGGGTACAGATGTTTAGGTTATGTATGTTGCCCTTGCCACCCCCCCCCGCCAAGTCGGAGTTTCAAATATGTCCATCCTTCAGGTGGTGCGCATTGCACTCTTTGTGTATGCAAATACCCGTCCCCTCCTCCCTCCTCCCCCCTCCCCCCTCCCCCCTGCCCAACATCCAATAGATGTTATTCTTATATGTGCATTTATGTGTTGATCAGCTAATACCAGTTTGATGGTGAGTACATGTGGTGCTTGTTTTTCCATTCTTGGGATACCTCACTTAGTAGAATGCGTTCCAGCTCTATCCAGGAGTATACAAGAGGTGCTATATCACCATTGTTTCTTAAAGCTGAATAGTACTCCATGGTATACATATACCACATTTTATTAAATCCACTCATGTATTGATGGACACTTGGGTTGTTTCCACATCTTTGCAATTGTGAATTGTGCTGCTATGAACATTTGGGTGCAGGTGTCTTTCTTATAGAGTATCATTTGATCTTTTGGGTAGATGCCCAGTAATATTCTAGGTAGTCAGCCTTTACGTCATGACGGTTTGGTTTCTCAGTATTTTTGATAGAAGCATCCCATGGTTTCATTATCAAAGGGATGAAGGGATGAGTCTGCGCAGCAGATTCTCTTCTTGTGATCACTATGTCATACGCCAGCTGTGATGAATGACCGTAGGAGCTGATAACTCATCTGGTCTACCAAGAAAAATCCCCAGATTTTCTTGAGTTATTTGACTTAAAATTCACAGTAGCTTTTTTTTCCTACTTATTGAGAAAAATATATATGTTAAAATATATATCAAATAAAAGAAACTGAACAATCTCTCTCTATATATATATATCAGTTCTCTAACC